AATATTTGTCTAAGAATGAATATCAACAAGATGAAAAAGGACAATGATGATGAACCTATTTTGACTGAAATATTTAAACATTTCCTTACATGAAAGCGTAATTTATAACCTCCACATATCAGAATTTTCCTGAGCTTATCAGGAATCTCATTATAGGTAAAAAAAATTTCATTAAATTATAGGCTATAGAGAAGCGTTTATTGAAGTTGTTAACAAATTTAACTTTATTCATGATAAAATGCAAACTTGATAAATATTAAAATCTTATAAATCAACTAAAAATAACAAGAACATATTTGTAATTGGAACACAAGAAGGAGAGGAGAGACAATACGGCCAAAAAAGATTTGAGGAAATAAATGCTAATTATTTCCATATGTGACGGAAAATATCAAACAGGTTCTAGAGCTCTAAGATACTCAAGAAAGTTGAATAGGAAACATACCATACACTACTATATTATAGTCAAATGACTGAAAACCAGTAATAAAGAGAAAATCTCATAAGTTGCTGTGGGGGAAAAAAGGTCCTATAAGAAAAATGTATCCCAAAATTCTAAGCCAAACACTGCATCAAGAAGACAATGGAACTATAGTTTTAAAGTGCTGAGAGAAAATAAACCTCTCAACCCAGATTTCATGCTTAATTAAAATAGTCTTTAAAAAGGAAACAAAAATAAAGATATTTTTAATCCAAGGTGAAAGAAGAAATCACAAGGGAAACGGAAATTTATTTTGAAATGAATGATAATGAACACCCATCATTAAAAGTTTGTGGATATAGTGAAAACTCTACTTTTTAAAAAATATATAGCATTGAAAGCTTTCTCAGAAAAGCATAAAGGTTTAAATAAATGGTTTAACCCACCACCAGAAAAAGCACAAACATGAAGAAAAAATTAAACTCAAAGTAGAAAACAAGAAATAAAGACAAGTAGTCAATGAATTAATAGAGAAATGACAGAGAACATTAATAAAGCCAAAATTTGGTTCTTGGAAAAAGATAATAAAATCAATAATCCCTTGATCAAGAAATAAAAGAGATGTAATACAAATGACCAATATCAAGAATTGCATAGGGAACATCACTAGCAGTTTCAAAATGATAATGAAAAGCTAATCAATTGGCCACTTGGAAAAACGGATAAATTCCTTGTAAGATAAAACATACCAAAACTGACCCAAGAAAAAACAAAACATCTGAATGGCCTTAAAGAAAGTGAATTTGAAATAGAAAACCTTCCCAGAAAAAAATCATGCCCAGATAACTTCAATGTTGAATTCTACCAAATATTTAAGGAAAAAATGAAGAAAGATTTTAACCATGCATCATATATTTCAGAAAAAAAGAAAAGAAGGATTATTTACGAGCTTACTTCTTGAAGGTAGTGTAACTTCGATATCAAAATCTGAGAAAGACATTCCAGGAAAGGGGAATTGTAGACCAATATCCCTGATGACCATAGGAACAATGATATTTGACAAGATATTAATAAAACAAAAAGATAAATATTTGAAAATAAAATTATGACATGACCAAATATGAGTCACCCTAGGAATTAAGGTTGGTGTCATATGAAAAAAAATCATTTAACATAAATTGCCATATTCAGATTAAAATAGAAAAACGACATGAGAATCTTAAGAGATAGACAAAATTATATAATGCAATCCAATTCTCATTCATGATAAAACATCTCAGCTAACCAGGAATAGAAAGGAGCTTCCTCAACCTGATAGAAACAGCTGTGAAACATCTTCAGGTAATTATTTTACTTAATGAGATATTGAGCATGTTTCCCATAGAGTTGGAAATGAAGCAGTGATGTCTGCTCTTAGTACTTTTTCCCACATTTTTCTGCATAGAAGAAGTAAAATAAAAATAGTATTTTATTTATACTATAATATACAGAATACTTGAATTCCATGCATAAACTTATAACGATGAAATAGAAGGAAAAAATAACTAGAAAGTTACATTTTATACTTAATTGTGTAGACCATAATAAAGATGACAACACTTCCTAATTTAGTAAAGATATTTTAATGTAAGACTAATTTTTCTCATGATCTTTTAATTAACATATTAAGATGAGAATTCTGGGGTGGTTCCATAGAGTAGTGGTTAGCACGTCTGCTTTACACGCAGAAAGTCCTGAGTTTGAGCCCCCGTGGAGCCACAGCCCATACCCTGGGAGCACAAGGCCCCCCGGGTGCGCCAGGCCCCCTGGGTGTGCCAGGTCCTGGGTGCACCAGGCCCTGGGTGTGCACCGCGAGCAAATGGGAAGAGATGCCCCGCCTTCACAGATCCAGTTCTTAAGGGGAGACGGCAACATCCATAGGTCAGGAGTGGAAGTTGGGGGGTGGATTTTTAAAAAGAAAAAACTATTAAAAAAAAAGAATGAAATAAGATGAGAATTCTATGCCAAGGAAATATGATTTTGTTTTTAGTTTATCGATGATTTTTAATCATGCATTTTTATCAGATTGCATTGGGGCTATCAGGAATTCTATAATTGGTCTTTGGTTTGGTACTGGATACTCAAGCAAACCTTAGAAAAAAGTTAAGAATAATGAAATACAAATTAGGCCATGAGCAGCTCCAAAGAACATAACGAGAAAGATAATCTTAAAAAAATGTCCTGAAGATGCACACTTTAGCTGCAGAGAAAACACACATCCCTATTATTATTGAAGAAGCACTTTGTAACACTGGGTAGCCTAGAAGATACAATGTCTCAGTTGCTTTTTGGTTGCCTGAAGGCTTAGAACTGGAAACGAATGCTTTAGATATGTGTGCAGAAAAAGAAAAAGAAAACCTTCTAATCATGGACATGGAATCAAGATTGATGTTCCAGAACACCCAGAAACTCATTGCTCTTATAGTCACAGAATCAACAGGAAAAGTTACCCACAAGGAATACAGTGGATGAAGAATTAACAATAAGAAAATAATGAACATATCTGAAACAACATTTTGAAGTGTTTTCTAATACTGCAGAATATGGATCATAATATAGGAACACCTTTTTATACACCAAGAGGGGACTATCACACTTTTCAGCCAAGTCTAGTAACAGGAATAAGGTCATCTTATTGGTTGAAGAAGAAACACCCATGGTCTGAATTAAGGCCCAAGAAGAAATGATTTCATGTGATAATGAAATATTGTTATCATGCATAAAAAGTGGAAAATCCATAAGACATTGAAATACTGTTTATAAAAGCATTCTTTTATGGCCATGTGGTCTTTTATCTTTCATATATTGCACATATTCTTGTATCCAAAATTCTGTAAGATGTTTATCTGCATAGTCTGTCAGACATTTTCCCAGTGTTTGCCTAGCAGCTCTATCCCAGTAGACAAGGGTTTCAGTTACAATAACAGTAGCCCTGGGACCATAAGCTGAAAAATACTCTTCATCTCTTTTAAAATATGGTGTCATGTAGGGATTGTTACTTGCCAAATTTCAAAGGTCTTAACCTTCCCACCCTTGGAAAAACCCAGATATACTGCATAGGCCATACAAGATGCTTAGAAGCACCTGCAAACACTTGGATTCAGTGCTTGTGAGCAAAGGGTCAAAATAGTCTCCTAGAGCATCAGAGACACTCTTTTCATTTACATTTCTGAAAACTCACAAAACAGAATAGCAACAACTGGAATCTTCTCTTCTCAAATGATAGATTGGAAAGGCAATGAGTACTCTTTCTACTAGATGAGAAGCTTATATTATTTTTAAAGGGAAATGATTCCTAGTTAATAGCATTTTAGATTCAGATGTGTATGAAAGTTAAATGTATAAAAAACTAATGGTTGTCTTCACATGTTATAACATAAGAATTTCATCCCAAGAAAGTTTTCAAAGTTGTTACAAATTGATCCTTAATTTTTAGCTATAATCTTCCATGATTTATTTCTAATATTACATATATATATATATATATATCCTACTCAAATATTGGCAAAACCATTGTACAGACAAATGTTGTGACACTGCCAAAAATGAACTGTAAGTAATGTTGATATTCTTGAACTGATAAACGTCAGTTAACTGATAAACTGATAAATGACATCCAGACTCGCCTTTAGAAAGACAATTGAAGGATTTAAATAACAGATTCAAAGTGAGTTACAAAATAAATATATGGAAAACAAGGATTAGCTGTAATTATAATACTGCTACAGTTTTCACAAATGAACAAGTGAATACATTACCAAGTAAAAGAATGTAAAGATCATTTTTGGATCCTATAAATTGGTGAAGTCAAAAGGCAAAAGGAGTATGCTTCCTTTATTAATATATATACTAAATAGAGAAATAGTTATCTGTGCTCACAGGTCTGATTTAAAAAGCAGATAGCATTAAAAATTTTAATATTTTCAATTTGCTTTTGGTCTAAGGTAATCATTGTTCTATGTGATGCATTTTGAGGTTAAAAATAGAACATTTGAAAGTATAAAAGTTATCTTTGGAAACCAAGTTTTTAAATGCTTTTATATCTTATAAATAAAAATGAATAGATTTTGCATTCTTAGGGTAAGTAATGTTTTTTTTCTTTTCTCATTTATGATTTTTGCTTCTCCTAAGATTTCTGCCTCTTATATATCCGCTTTTCTATTTCAGGGCTCATGTGAAAGAGCAAAAGCTTGGCGAACGTCCAGGGACATCTGAAGGGAAGCAGGCGCTGCCCACCAGCGACCTCTGAGGTTAGATACACCTGGGCCTTGCTCGCGTGCTCTGTGTCCTCTTGGCCTGTGGCCTCTGTGCGCATGTGTAGTGAAGTAACCTCTAACAAGCACATGCTCACTTGTGTCTAGAGGCATTGCTTGGTAACAGTTGTGGCTGAAAGATTCTAAACCGCCAAACTGCCCTGCTGGAATGTTGTGTCAAGAGGCGGTTGGCTTATCTGGAAGCGCCTTTTGAGCTCAGGAGTGGAGAAAAGGAGAAGAGTAGCTGAGGTGTATCTGAAGTTCGTAGACCTGACAAAGACTGGGACATGAAGAAAATTTTTGGATTTGAGAGTTGGAAGGGCAAGTCACCCTTTGAATCCCTAACCAGCCAACAGAAGACCAACACAGGCCTCACTCCTGAGGCTTGTAATAGTATCACCTCTTGGAACCGGTGCCACATCCGAGATAAAGATCTCAGAAAGATCCACAGAGCTGCCAGCGTAGGCGATGCGCAGGAAATGGAGGAGATTCTTTTGAAAAGTTTAAGGCACTTAAATGATAGAGACAAAATGAACAGGTAATGGGGACTGTGAGACCAGTGGCCAGGGGTGGACCTGGGAGAAGGGCTTGCCTGCCCAGGCACAGCCAGGTGGAGTCAGCCCTCCCATCATGGAGGGTTCTGGGCTGTCTTCCCTCCCCAGGCTCAGCCCCACAGCGCCTTGGCGGTAGGGACCTTACCTGGGGCCTAGCGATCAGGCGAACTTGATGAGTAGCAGTAAGGAAAACTTTAAGACCCACTCTTAATTCCTTTATCGAGCACTTTACTGATGATTTGAAAGGAATTTAACTTAATATGAATAATAGAAATAAAATTAAGTATACATGGCATTTTATTTTTGTTGTTCAGATTTTTATACCATAATGTTATGTAAAATAGAAAAATGCGTAAAGTAGAAAACAGATCCCATAATAGATCAACTCGCGGGCTAAAAACTCTTCAGATAAAATTCAATGTCCATTTTATAGCAGTGCACACCTATGGATGTGTGGTCTTTATTGAGGAACTTCAGAAGGGAACTTTGAAGTGGGAAAATGTCTGTGGTCTTGAATAGAAAGACTTGTTTTCTCAAAATGTGTGGTCTTTCTACATTTATCATTCTTACATAAACCAACAATATCATGGTATTAAAATTTTGGGGTTACACACACTGTGTTTTTTTTGTCATGATGAAATTAAGACAAATTTTGTATAATAGACAGAGATTTGCCCTTCTAGATACTAACATGTGCTATAGATATCCAGAAATTAATTTGTTTAGTAATAGCTGAAAAGACAGAAAAATGATTGGAACAACCCAGAAAATGTCCAAACACCCAAATATATATATATGTAAGTCTTTAGAACTTGTTACTGGTGACATTTCATGTTAGTAGAAAAGATGAATTACTCATAACTGGTAAATAAATAAGCATTTGGAGAAATCTAGCTCAATTTTTATACCATAAAAAATATATTTCAAATAAAATATAGGCTAAAATTTTAAATATAGAAAATGAGAAAAGTTCTGGAAGAAAACACAGCCTCCTATTGATACTTTTTATGTTGACAAAGACTTCAAAAGCAAGAATTCGGAAGGTTGACAGTAATACAAAAAGTCAAAATCCTCTGTATATCAAAAAATGATACTAACAAAATAAAAGAAAATGTTCTAGTGAAATATTTACAACATATATATATCAAAGGGAAACTATATTTTCATTTTCCAGAGAAATCTTTGAAATCATCAAAGAAAAAACCTATAATTTGAAACTGGACAAAGCACTTTTTGTATACCTACATGTGACTAGTACACATAGGAAAAAATACTTAGTGTCTCTGGTAAGAAAAGAAATTTAAGTTAAAAAAGAAATAAAATAATGTTTCTACCTACAACATTTGTGAAGACGTGGGGTCATTGAAACATAGTGTTCTTTCTAAATTAAGTTCAAGTAGCTTTTCACTTTTCAAATAGGCAGTTTGGTGATAAGTATCACATCTAAAAATATATATTCCCTCTACCCATCAACTCTATTATTACTAAGGTATATTCATGAAATAATTAGATAAATTACATACAATTGAGTTTTCTCAGCACTGCTTACCATAACAATGTAATAAGATGAACTCATAGAAATGAATTTTATAAGTAAATTGGAGTGCATCCACAGGATGAGATAATATGTGACTATTAAAGTTGGTATAGACCACAGATGTATGTTGTCACATAACGATGTACTTTGGTAGATCAGAAATGAAGAAAAGAATTAGTTTGATTATACATACACCCAAACTGACCATGACCTTATGATAGCTGAAAATATGTGCAAAATGGGATAAAATGTATTTCTGAGCAATTGTATTATAAGTGAAATTTTCTTTTTCTTTTTTAAAAATCTGAATTCTACAATGAACATATATATATATCTCCTAGTAAGTTTATTATTAATGAAATAATTCTTGAGAAGAGCAGGAATATAAATCTTGCACAGATGAAAATGATTTCTCACTTTCTGTTTTTTGAAGTTTTTTGATGAATTAACATCTTCAGAAATAACAAGAATT